TTTTGCCATGATTTCGTGTTTATATTTATATCAGGCTTCTTTTAATGAACTAATACCATTACTACTTAAATGACAGGCAATGTACACAATGGGTGAGTATAAGGAAAGGCTACGAGTAACTACAGTTTGTATTCACATTTCTTCAAGATAGCACCATAGTTCACTATCAAACACTGTGCAGGTATGAGACTAACAGAAACTTGCCCAGCAGCCAAAAATCGAAAATAGCTAGCACAGTGAAGAGAAAATATCAAGTCATTCACTTCATTTTTGGGATTTAATTACTGAGAAAATTGGATAGTTACCTTTCTTTGTTTGAACATAGAGAAAGCAAAAGAGAGAATAACAGAACCCAAAAATGACGTTAGAATGTCACCAGCTCCCGGATTAGAGGATGTATTTGTAAGATAATATCCTGTGTACATAGAAAGAAGAATCAAACTAACATTTGAAGAGAAGAGTTGAACGGAGAAAAGAACCGCGTTGTTCATATGCTAGAGACAGGGGACATTGATTTTGGTTTTTATTTCAGACAATCAACCTGAAGAACTGTCACTCGATTTACCATCCAGTATTAGATCCATTCTCATTATATTAAATGCCTTTCCTCGTAATTTATAACTAGATAGCCCATGCATTGCAGGGAGTACCTTATAACAAGTTGCCCTCTTCACGGCTCATAAACAGCACAACTTGCTATAGATTTATACAATATAAAGATATAGATTCTGTATATAAATATGTTTTGATTGCTAATCTCATCTCAGCTCTGCGAAGACAAAAACTTCTCCCAGACACGGCTTCCACTGTGACCTAAGGCAATTCTCTTATGAATATAACTATTAGAAATGCCATCTTGACTAAATTGTCCAACAATACAGCATTGGCATCTTAAAGGGGCCTTAATATGACATCAGGTGTTTTAGAGTCTGTCCCTCGTATAGACAGGTTCATACTTTTAAAATTTTGAACCAACCTAGAACATTACCTAGTAGCTTCTGTCAATTTGCACCATTCCCAGCAAAAAAAGTATACTTGGCTTGTAAATAAAACCAAAAGAGTTGAGCGTTGCTCAATATCAAGAAGTTTAATATTTGATGAAGTAGCAAGAAGTTTAATGAACTAGATCCAAACTCTTCAGTGTTCAATTTGGCATCTGATGTCCAATGCTTAGATATCGACTGTTGAAATCAGTGTTTCTTACTGGTATTACTGAAATCAAAATACATTCCTGCAAGAAGATGGCAGCCAACAACAGAACAACTCCTGATATAGAGAATTAAACGGTTAATTTTCAAGAATACCTAGAACGGGTTCGAAGCCTAACTTAGAGAGATATCCAAAAGCCAATGCTGTCAGATCTGCAGATAGCGTACAACAAATAATTGGATGGAAGACCATCCTCACACTTGATGGAAGCCTGGAAATGAAACATTTTAAGACAGGATAAACTTCCATAAAAGCAGCTTCAATTCATAAAAATAATGGTTCTTTACCTAAATGCATATAACATGCGACATGACAACATTTGGATTTGTTTTTTATATTTATCCCTAAACAAACAAATGAAAAAAATATAATAGTGCTGTTAATATGCACTAATTGAGGAAAAAAAAAACAAATTTACCTGGAACCAAGCATGTAGCCTGACACGTTGGAAGCAAGCAAGAAGGGAAGGCATGTTCTAGCATGAGTTCCCAATGCTGTTGGGTTAAGAAATGCAACAACTAGTGATATAAGGAAAACCCCAGTCCAAGCCCACATTTCAATGGAAGAAAATGGAGATGGCTTTTGCATAGGCTCAGCATCTATCATTTCTGTCTTTACAGCTTTTCTTATAGCCAGAGCTGTGAAACCAGCAACACAAAGTGTAGCCAGCCATCCTCCAACTGCTCGATACAAACAGATACCAACATGAAATTGAAAGGAAAACACAATTTGTCCAACACAGACACATCAAATAGGGGATGTAAGTTTTTAAAAGAAAAGGGATCTTCAAATAAGAAAAAACCCTGAACCAGTTGTCACACTATTAAAATCAATATTATAAGACACTTTTAGTTCTAGTATTGTAAATCTTGAAATTTGATCCCTCCATTCCTTATTGAGTCAATGTTGTCCTTCAGCATTTAGAAATAATGCAATTAAGTCCTTTCTTCGTTGCTCTGTTTCTGGTATAGTAAAAAAAAAAAGAATGATGAACTTGTCAGCTCGTGTTTGATCCATGGATGTAATTTGAGCACCTTGGACTTGCTAGATGACAAGTAATCAAGTAAGACCACAATAAATTTTGCTTAAATTTATGAGGAAAATGATTATGAAATGGAGATCACTAAACTAATGATCTCACTTGGGTTACCCATCAATCCATCATCCAGCAAGCCTGAAAGCTGAAACTACGTCTACACAACAGAATTCACTGTATCATTAAAACGCTTTATCTTAAAAGTAAAATAAAAGAACATCATTATTACATATTATTGAAAGACAACAATGACTCAATCAAAACTAGAGGCACGAAATGGAAACTTTTATAATACTTGATAGATATGTAAGCCACAAAAGTAATTTCCAGTAAACAGTGGCTGTAGCTGAACTAATGATTTTCACGTGAGACTCTACACACGATGGAAGAAACTAGTACAAGGCAAAAGTAAGCAGCTACCTATAATAAAGCCAATCTTGATGCCAGAAGCAGCTGGAATATCTTTAATAGAAAGAGGCAAAATAACCAACGGTGGAACGTAGAACAACGGGAGCCATCTTTGAATGAACATAAACGCCGGTTCAAAGAACTTCATCAAGGCCATAGCTGCAGACGGCAAGGTACAATCGAGAACCACCAAAGCAGAAAATATACAGAACATCCCAAATAATGCGCTCGGGAACTGAATAGCGGCCGCCGTGAAGAATTTCTTCAAAAAAAACATCAATCGCGAGAATAAGACTGAGGGAGGTGATCAAGTGCAGAACCCCAAACACCTGAAACACACTCGATTAAAGAACATAAAAATAATTTAAATTTAAACCCCGCCAACGTAATCAAACAACGAAGAGTAGAGTATGGACGTACAGTTTGGCTCACTGTGGAAGTGTTCTGACTCTCAGTCTCGTCTGATTTTGTCGAAACTTCTCTGCTAATGAGACATTCATGGGTAGCCATAGGAGGAACCTGAAATTGAGTGCAGGAAATTTATTGGGTACGCCTGAGTTTTGCGTGAAGGATCGCTTTTAGGAGCATCGAAACACATTGACGAAGACAAAAGAAGTCAGGAGTGGTCCGGAATGAGTTGGGAGATAGAATTTTGGATAGTCATGACTGCGGACAGAAATAGAAAAAGCGGGGTGCGTGGTAAGAGAGTACGCCATGAAAACGGCGCGAAAGTGGACAGGTGGAACTCGAAGGTCCAGATAAAAGAGAACGAATTTCACAATTCCTTTTACGTTTAGCGACTTTCGACGGTTACAAATGGAAGTAAACCTGGGCGCAACCTGTTCGGATAACATTTATCTTATAATTGTTAGTTTCTAATAACAATGATTAAATGTTGAAAAATAAAATCATAAAATTCGAAATCTCCAAATTTTGATATAATTCAGACGGAATTTTTTCTCCTTTGTCGCACTTGCAGGCAAGCAGCCGGCGTGAAATGAGAGAAAAACAAAGGAGGGTGGGTGTGGGGCCCACCACTCATGAGGCTCCCATTTCTCTCTCCTCGTGCATCACAATATTTTCTTAAAAATTATTTACCGTCATTTTTTTATTAAAAATAATCATATGGACACAACAAGTATTAAATGCAAGTTCTTATTTCAACGTCAGTTCAAATCTTCTTTGTCATGTTGTGAGTTCTTCAGCAGAAGGTCAACTTGCCATTTGATGAAACATGCAATCAAATTTCGCATGAAGCATAAACACCACACTAGTTTGTTTTAAAATTGCCTCTTAACTCTAAATTTAAAAATATCACGTATGAGACTGTAAAATTGAATATACGATTATTTTTTTTGAATATCTATCTTTTATTTTTTCGACTTATTATTAAGAATATCTTAATAAATACTGTTATAACTTTACGCACAAACAATATACGCATTTGTTAGTGTACTTATTGCTTGTAAGACTGCTTGGTCAGATAAGGTGGATGTGCATTTCTCTAGAACCAAGTTAACAGGAATAATTTTTTAAAAAATAACTGTATTTTTAATAAGGCTATATATTTAACATATCTAATATATAGTTACCAATAAACAGCTTAAAAAAAAAGTGAATAACTATTGTCTTACTCAATGATTAACAAATTGAATCAAACTAGATGATCAAACCGTCAACCAGTCTGAATTTTAGCTTGATTAGCATGAAAAAATCATTTGAAGAGTTGGACCACTTTGAACAAACAATCAGAACAGAAACCAAATACATTTTTTCAAAAATAGAATTGTTCAAAAAATACCTTTTTTAATTTTTTATCAATTTTTTAAAAATGACTAATTTTTTATGTTATGTTGCATCATGTGGTTTGTTAAGTCATGATAAATTTAAAATATTTGATTTTATTTTTAAATTAAATAACAATTTCATATTCATTTCTTATATTTAGATTATTATATGCATATATAATTTTTTAAAAATTTAATTTCTGCTTCACCGGTTCGACCATTGGTCCAACCCGATTGGACCATGCGAATCTTGAATTGCTGGCATTTTCAATTCAATATCTACTCCGGCTCTGAAAACATTAGTCTTACTATCAACATTCCTTGATTGCTTTACATGAAGAAACACAATAAACACCACTTCTTTGAGTGACTTGATCAGGTAAGACCATCCTTCCTTACTTCTGCCAAATTTTCAACCCAGCAAAAAATAAATAAATAAATAAATAAATAAATAAATCCCACGGGTAAAGAGAAGCCATATCATTTACATTTAAAATAATAATAATAATAATAATAATAATAATAATAATAATAGCAATCACAAGGAATGCAAACCGGAATACACAACTAAGTCTCTCAGTAACTAAGAAATGATGAGTTAGGATTCTTTGCAACATTGACTGGGTTTGCTTTCAGATTTAATCTTCTACACCCATGCATTTGAAGAGAAAGCAGTACAAAAGAATGTGACTGTACATAAAACTCAGACCCCATCTTCATGCTTAACATCTCATCTTATCATCATTTTAATGATATGCATTCGCTTTTACGGATGTAGAAGATTCAGATTGATTAGCTTCAAGGTTCAACTTGATAGTGATAAACATACTGTGGAGGGGAAGATGGGCGATAATAATAGGCCTGTGGCGGTGATGCAGTATAGTCATAGTGAGGAGGAGAGGGTTGATGAGCATGTTGAGGGGAAGGAGAACTGAGCTCACTTGATGGGGAAGCGGTCCCCTGAGCTTGATGTTTGTCTACTCTGACTTGAACAAGCTCTTCTTCCTCTACCTCGAATGACCGGAAGATCGGATGCAAGTATGCGTCGGCCAGGTATGCCTTGATGTTCAGGTTAGGCTCTGCGGTTTTCTCCAGTATATCCTTTGCCATTGCTTCCTGAAAATACCCAGAGAAATTGATTTTCAGTACTGGAAAAAGAAAAATAATGTGTCAAAGTCATAGATGTCTTTTCTTGATTTGCTAGGTTTATCCATTCTTTGTAGACCACGCTTACTCCCCCCCCCCCCCCACCCAAAAGGTTATTAGGTGGATCATTATGTATAAAAGACAGGTAGATCAAGCTATGATCTATCTAATAACTTTTTCACCTTCAAAGCAAAACAAGAACAAAAATTATAGCAAAAGATCTCAGGCAGATTTGCCTTTTGCAGGATCCACGTCTTACCTCAAGCGGATACTTCCTAAAAGCCGGCTCGAAACGATTCTTACAATACTTGTGGAATACTAATGTTAGTACAGGTAAGATTACAAGCAAAGGTGTAGATTTGGCTGCTTCTTTTGTGCTCAGCAGACCCAACAGAAGAAGCTGAGATATTAGCAAGCTTGCTATAATACGGCTATGAACATGTGGCCAAAATGCAGCAGCACTTTCATATTGTTGATTGTAGACATTAATTATCTGCATAGTTGAGCACCAAATAGCATTATATACGGTTAATATGCCATAAAATGCTGGTGTTGACCTTTCTATAATTACATTTGAAGGGAGAAAAAAAAAGTGATATTGAATGTCCATAACCAGAGAGAACATCTGATGTCTGGCTTATTCCTTCCGGACATAACAGCCATGGCCTTTTATCTAATTGTTACTGCATTTCTTATGGTTGTCTATTATGTTCTCCAACGTCCAATCAGTTCCAATTAATCTTCTAATTTCAAATTCTTCAATATTTATTTTTTTTAAAAAAATTGGGAATATATTTCCATCTAGCCACTAGATTCTAACAAACACAAGTTTTAGTGTGCTTATTTATGCATCATTCTGCAGTTTCAACGCACAAAATATTCTGAAAAATAAAACACCCAATTATTATTTTTCATTTTGAGATGAGTGGTTATGTGCATAAATCCTAATTCTTTTAGGAAACAACAATTGGCTTGTGTGTAAATCCAAATTACTCAGTAAAAACAGAAGTTTGTTATGAGAGATTGCTAGTAAATTAGCTGACCTGATGGCGATATACCAAATATGCCAGGGCAAAGAAGACCAGTATGAAAGGAAGGAGGATTGGTGTCACCACAGCATACACAATACCGAGAAGGAAGTATAGCTGTAGACTTGGAATCGCCTCCTTGAAGTCCACGCTCCCAGGGTCCATTGCCTTCTCTCTGTCTCTTTCTGTTTTAACTAAGAACATGTTCTTGAGATGATATATAACCAATGGCTTCAATCTGAGAATCTCACCAGCAATTCCAGCCCAGCCATCAACCATGATGTATGTCATAAAAAACGTAGCCTTCATGGGAATGGAAACTCCAATAGTTCTAGGGATTCTATAATCAGTCCAGGACGCACACAAATTAGTCACATTGAACTCCATTACATGGTCAAGACTGACATTTAAAAATGATTAGAATGGCAACTAAAGTTTTTTTAAGGAAAAGGAGGATAATATAACTTTTAGTCCCAACACTTTCTTTCAATTATTGATTTAGTCATTGAGCTTTGACTTAATACAACTCAATCCTTATATTTTGTTGAGTTAAGGAATTATGGGGAATAAATTGTACCAAGTAAAAAAATTACAAGGGCAAAGTTGTTCTAAGTCAAGAAACTATAAGAACTTAGTTATTTCAATTCAAAATTTAAAGACAAAACTGATAATTGAAAAAAAGTTCAACAACTAAAAGTTGTATTTTCCCAACAAAAAAAAAGTACTGATTCAATAATTGTAAAGTCCAATGGAAAAGGTTTGAACATATGGAATAGTAGAGACAGTCAAAAGAATTAATGGTATAGAAGATTTACTCTGTGGGCGATTGGTGAAGGAAGGCATGCAATTGCTCAAATGCAGTCCCAGTCACTATGCTTCCCAAGAACACATTCACAAGCATAAAATAATAATATTTTGCAGCAGCTCTCCGCTCCAGAGTTGACAATGCAATATGCCCCTCGATTTTTGACATGATCAACAGAACTGTCGGAAGGATATACAGAAATATTTTGAGAGCCAGACCAGGAAGAAAACCTTGAAGAAAGGACTTGATGAATTTCCTGCCAAATGCAACCAAAACCTCGCGAGGTTAAGAGCAAGATAATTGTGGCCTGATCATGAATCATGATGAAAAACCTAAGAGTCAGAATGTCTCAACAAGTTCGGTCCAAAAGAATGCGTGAACTAGTCAATTCCTAGCATCAGTATTAAGCACAACTTTATAAACTCAATAACCTAATCAAATGCTAAATTGAACCTCGTTGACTATGTAATTTAATATTAGAATCTGATTATTAACCCTACCTGTGAATCAGGAGGCTAGAGGAAAGTAAAGGTGAAGTAAACTTCTCAACAAGACCTATAAATGGATATAGCTAAGATACATGGAAAAAGTATTCTCATCAGTTCATCATGTTTTTAGCCACAAAGCAGGGGCAGTATTTTTTAATTTTTTTTTTGGGGCGGGGGGGAAGGGAGATGAAGGCAAAGGGATACCGAAATATGGGTTAATTAATAACTCAGTATACTAGAGAAACTTGTTTAGTAATTGTGAGAATATGAGCTGCAGAAAGAATAATCCTTTTACGCTAAGATGTAATAAAAGTGAAGTTTGATGCTCTATTGGTGTACATACTGCATAACATTGAGATTCCAGCCAAAATTTACAGATAATATTGTGCATGGAAAGAGTTCAGAAATTTAACGATGGAATCCAGAAAGTACAGAAATCGACCAATGGAATCGTAATGAGCTTCTCCAACATATTTTCAAAATAGACCAAATTGACTTACAATTCTATTACTGGTCTGAGAAAAGGAGCAACTCTTTCAAGACCCTCCAAATTTGCAAGGGATTGCACAAAAGCAATGGGGATCATGTAGAAGAATACCAAGGCAAACACTGCCATGGATATTATGAATTTTCGAATGGTTAAAGAGAAAAATGGTATGGCCAAGTTTTGCCAATGCACATCACGAGGTTCTGGAGCCCAATTTGTCAACCACAGTGTGGGATTCTTATTTTGTTGTGTCTGTGCACAGACTGCTGCTCCCCAACGAGAATCAAATGAAAGAAAAGCAACTGGTAAAATAGATTTTGGATCTTTTATAATTTTCTGGCGCTCCAATGTCATCTGCTCAAATCAACAGTGTGGAATGTAGATATATTAGGGTAGCTCAACAGAAGGAGGTGGGGAAAATCAAGTATCAGAAGGAATTGCACTGGACACTACTTGAAAAGAAAATGTATATAGGAGGAAAAAAAATAAAGAATGAACAAATTGCTAAAGAAAGAAACAATCATCACTTACTTTTTTATCAAGATCCTTAATCAGCTTTTTGTAGTACTCAATAGCATCAACTTTTCCACCCAAAAGCCCAAAGAATCCTGTCTAAAAATTCAGAAGCATTAACATTATCAGATGCTGGTCCTGAAGAGCAATTGTTATTGACAGACCTAAAGAAATGCTTTAAGTTCACAGCAAGGACTCACCTTCACAGTTGGCCTCTTGTCAGGATGCCTTTCAAACTTAAGCTGGTAATAATCCAGCCAATTTTGAAGCCTATCTCTTCTCCTTACAAATTTAGCAAATTTGTTGGCATTGTAGACAGCCTGAACAAAGAATGGGTAAATTATAATTTAAAAAAGGATATAATGGGGAAAAATTCCACTGGATTGAAACACATCAATTTGAACACCACCTATAGAGTTATCAACTCATCATTCGTCAATTTCTGCGCAAATTATTCCCCACGCCAGTATTTAAGCTATTAATTACCTGGTGACCAATATAGTGATTTGGGTGATTCCTCTGAAAGAAGTTATCCACAGCATCTGATACTGAACGACCAGATATATGAGGATATTCCTGACAACAACCTGCAGCAAGCACATGATCCTAAGACT